TAGCTTTTAAGACCCCAGACGCCACTCACCAAAGTGGGATGCAGAACATTTTCTTAATAAACTTTGTTATGCCAATTGATGGAGATATCCTATCGTGGCAATTTTTAGCAGCTTTATGGAGGTAGACAGGCACTCATGTGGCACAGTGATTGAGAGCTCAGTTATGGAGGTATAATTGACATACAATAAACTACATATTCATAGTGTGTATACATTTTTTACTTTTAATTTTTTAAATGATATTGTGCTTTTGGTGTAAGTTTACACAGCAAGTTTCTCGTTTAACAATTTCTGTACGTTTTGTTCAGTAACATTGGTTACATTTTTCACAACGTGTCAACATTTTCATTATTTCCATTCTAGTTGTTCCATTTCCATTAATCTAGCTTCCCTGTCTCCCTGTTCATTACCTTCTCATCTTTTAATTTTTTTGAACCATGTGAATATATTACCTATTACAAATTAAAGAAAGTAATTAAAACTTTAAAAATTGCTTAAGTAAATGCATAAATAGCAAAGTTAGCCTGCCCTGGGCCTTGCTATATTATTTTCTCAGTTCAATCTAAGAGTTTTTGACCTTTTGTAGAAATTTTTGGTAAGGTCAGCTCTGGTTTTGCCAACAATGAGATATTCTTATCATCTTTTAAATGCTACTCGACGCAAATATTTTGAAAACAAACTGTTACAGATGTGTCCTTCGTCTCAGGATATTGACATTCTTCTGAAAGACAAATAAACAGTGAATGCAGAGAAAATTTTAAAATTAGAATTGTAGCCCAGGATGGGGCTTTACAGAAATCTCCAGCTGTAAATAATGAGGGTTAAGGTCATTGTTACCCCACCCTCCATGCCCCCTTGTCTGGGCCCTGCCTGTCACATAAGCTGTTTGGGACTACAGAAGACCAGACCCTGGGCATAAAGGTATGTAACAGAAGGGCTCCAGCTGGCCTGGGTACAACACTGAAAAAGGCTAACCTCATTTCACTTCCACCTCTTTGCTTCCATTACATCTTCATATGAGAATCACTTTGACCAGACCTTTTTTGGGTCAGGGAAAGGCTTTTTTTGTATCTAGAATTCTGCCTGTCTGCTCTCCTGGTAAGAATGACCGTCTTCTGCCCTGTAGAACTGTTTACCATAGTCTATCTTTGGTTTCAGTGATTTGGGCTTCTGAGATTTGACTGAAGAGAAGCAAAGATGAGAACTTTATAATTCAACTTTTGCACGTTTGCTGTCTTCTCCCTCCTTTTGTCCCTTGATCTGCTAACCCAGATAACTGCTTTGTCCTATCCCGATTTTATCACTGAGACGAGCCAATCAGACTCAGATACTCAGTGCCCTTGTTGGAATCAGCTCACTCTTGTTCTTGAATTTCCCCTTTCTGTGCCACCCGGGCACCCTCACGGACAAGTCCCATCATTCTTTCCCAGTCCAGTTCCATTATGGGAACAGGTACTTGGGGAAAACTCCGTAACACAGTAGTGGGAGACATGGTTTGGGAGTCAGATCATCTGAGTTCAGGACCTTACACTGCTGTAAACGGTGTCACTGAGCACTCAGGGCTTAGTGCTGTTTCCTTGATAGGTGCTTTGCAAAGTTGATCGGTTGATCGTTGAGAACAAACTTTCTGCTCCAGTTTCTTCAGCTGAAAATACAGACGATTTTGTACCTCATTGCCAAAGCAGTTAGAGACATTGATGTAATGAAGCGCTTTCAGTTTCTTGGAAGACAAGAAGTGGATAAATAATGTATTAAATGGAGCCATTTTCTGATTTGTAAAATGTGAGAGGTGGATGAGAGGATTTCTTGGGTGCTTTCTAGCTCTAAAGTGTGCCCGGCTCTGTGAGAAGGGGCACAGCTTGGTTGCAGGTGGACTGTTAACCAGTTGCCATCAAGCCGATTCCGAGTCATAGTGACCTCCATGTGTGTCTGAATAGAACTGTGCTTCATAGGGTTTTCAGTGACTGATTTTTGGAAGCAGATCATCAGGCCTTTCTTCTGAGATGCCTTTTGGTGGACTGAAGTCTCCAACTTTTCAGTTAGCAGCTGGCCTATAAACCCAAACCAAATGTGTTGCTATCAAGTTGATTCTGACTCATAGCAACCCTATAGGACAGAGTAGAACTGCCCCAAAGGGTTTCCAAGGAGCAGCTGGTGGATTTGAACTGCCAACCTTTTGGTTAGCAGCCAAGCTCTTAACCACTGTGCCACCCGGGCTCCAGCTGGACTCTAGAAGGATGGGATTGCTTCTGTACTTATCTGCTGGGTGATGTAGATTCCAGATGCAAACCAGCTCTTTTCTCCATTGGCATCTTTAGAGAATTTTTCCTCCTTTCTTTACGTGATGTAGTAACTTTTTTTCGTAATACGCTTTAGATAACTTAAATAATTTTGTCCTCAGAACAAACTTTATGAGGAGACAAGGTCAATATTATGTCCATGTTTTACAGACGAGGAAACGGTGGTTCAGGTTATATGATTTGTCAAAAGTTATATAACAAGTAAATGTCAAGGCACTTCTCTTTATATCTTGTTCTCTCTTCTCCATGCTTCAGTTTCTCATTTATAAGCATAAAATTAGGAAGCTGGACCCAGTGATTTTTGAGAGCTCTGCCATCCTGATCTAAAATCAGTTAATCGAATTTTAGAATCTTAAGTCATTTTTGGGACAGGAGGATTTTACTTACTGAAGTAGTGTAAAGTGAGTATCTTCTGTGTAAATCCCTGAGGAGGTAAGAAATATAATGTAAAACCTTGTCCATCCAATAGCTTACCTTCTTGAAGTTGAATGCTGATAGTGGACATGGAGTTCTGTGTAGTAGAGGATTTCATCTGGGCAGAGATGGGTCAGGGTGATAGGAATCTGAGACTATTGAAGATCGGGGTGAAATCCAGACTGTGGGCACAAACCTCCAGCTAGGGTTAATTAATTAGGAAATGGTCATCACAAGAGTTTGGCAAGAACAGTGGAGCACTGGGTCCAGTATTAAGGTTGCTGTATGTCTGGGTTCGTGGGTGGTGCAAACAGTTAATGTGCTCATCTGCTAACCAAAAGGTTGGAGCTTTGAGCCTACTCAGAGGTGCCTCGAAAGAAAGTCCTGGCAATCTACTTGCAAAAAATGAGCCATTGAAAACCCTATGGAGTTCAGTTCTACTCTGAGATACATACAGGGGTTCATTATGAGTTGGAGTCAACTCAAGGGCAACCTTTTTTTTTTTTTTTTTTAAAAATGTCTGGCTTGCCGACCTGGAGTCCCAGGTTAAGGTGAGATTTCTAAGACTGGGGGTGGTTCTGTTGAGAATGAGGCACAAGAAAGTGAGGGGTGACCAAGGATCATAGCTGTGAGACTGAGGTATGAGAAAGTGAGGGGTGAGCAAGGACCGTAGCTGTGAGACTGAGGTACGAGACAGTGAGGAGTGAGCAAGGATCGTAGCTGTGAGACTGAGGTACGAGACAGTGAGGGGTGAGCAAGGATCGTAGCTGTGAGACCGAGGTATGAGAAAGTGAGGGGTGAGCAAGGATCGTAGCTGTGAGACTGAGGTACGAGAAAGTGAGGGGTGAGCAAGGATCGTAGCTGTGAGACTGAGGTACGAGAAAGTGAGAGGTGAGCAAGGATCGTAGCTGTGAGACCGTTTTGCTGGACACTGGCCACAGCAGAAGTCCGCAGCCATCGGCTCTCAGTCATTTCTGCCCCCCTTCTTCCTTAACTTAAAAAACACACTGCCATTAAGTCGATTCCGACTCATAGCAACCCCGTAGGGTTTCCGAGGCAGTAAATCTTTACGAAAGCAGACTGCCATATCTTTCTCCTGTGGAGTAGCTGGTGGGTTCCAACTCCTGCCCTTTGGTTGGCAGTCAAGCACTTTAACGACTGTGCCACCAGAGCGCCTTCTTCCTTAAAAGGAAGCTGAAATATATAGAATCCCTGTTTTCCTGCCTCTTCCCTCTTCCTTGAGGGCAGTTTAAAGGGGCTGCTGTTTGTGCCCTGGTCCGTGTGTGTGAGCATACTTGGCTGGTCACAGCGATTCTCAAGCCATCAGAAAAGATTTTTGTCCTTTTAATACAGACTGTTTATCTGGTCCTAGGCTGTTATATATGCTGTTTCCAAGAAATAAGCAAATAAGATGGAGGAAAAGCACTTGGAATAATAATACTTCAAGCAGCTTTTGACAGCCCTTTTAAATTTTATTCTGCAAATCCTTTAGTGCTGGGCCCGGATGATTTTAATTCATGAATATGCCTTGTTTTGTCATCTTTGAGTTTTTACATTTTGAGGTAAAATTGAACTATCGCTAGCACATTTTTCTGAAGTCATACCTATTTGTCCATTTTGTTTGTTCAAATGAAAGCATGCGTGAAGTAGGGAATTAGATTAATGGAGTAAATATTATGAATTATACACGCCCTCTAATCTGATGCTTTTTCTTCTTTTTTGACCCCCTGTTTTGTGTGTAGGCTTTCAGTCCAGCGTGAAGCTGTTGGAGTGAGAGAGCAAAGGTAAAGAATGATGTAATGCAGTGGCAGCCCCAAAGCATCTTTTGTTGTGGAATGGTTATTTCAGTCATCTCTTTATGAATCAAATGTGAGGGGCTGCTTTGTGGAAGGAGTCCTTTGCAAGAGCACATCAACAGGAAAGAGAAAGAGACATTCACTTGGAGGGCTCTTGCTGAAAATGGGTTTAACTCTCCTTTTGCCAGTCACTATCAGCCTGACCTCATCCATTTTTAGTACAATGGAGTGGCTGAGGCTTTGAGCACACCACCATTACATCATCGTGGCAAATTAAAGAAGGAGGTGGGAAAAGAGGACTTAGTGTTGTCATGGCCCATGAGATGACTGGAACTGAAATTGTTACTGAGAGGTTGGTGGCTCTGCTGGAAAGTGGAACGGAAAAAGTGCTGCTAATTGATAGCCGGCCTTTTGTGGAATACAATACATCCCACATTTTGGAAGCCATTAATATCAACTGCTCCAAGCTTATGAAGCGAAGGTTGCAACAGGACAAAGTGTTAATTACAGAACTCATCCAGCATTCGGCAAAATATAAGGTAAATGCTTTCTTTTTAAAATAAATGGACACACTGAATGGGAGATAATTTTAAATGAAACTTCATTTTTGATGGGGAAAGTAATTTGAGGAAGTTTCAGTTGCTATTTGAATTTTGGTACCTTATAGTACCTCAGAATAATTTACTAACTATATTTTCACATTTAAGAATATTTCTAAACTATACAAAAGGTTTAATTTGGATAAGACCTATGTTTTCCTTTAAAGGCTTGCTAAAATTGTTTAGTTAAAACGTTATAGTATCTATAAATTTGCTGAAAGGAACGTAATTCTTTTCAAGTGCATTAGAAAGCCAGTAGGAGCTAATTATATTAGAGGTGCTTTTTGTGTGTGGGAAGGTAAGGAACCATTGGTCAAGACTTAAG